GCAAGCTATATAGAATACATTTCTACTTCCGGGTCCGGGGACCCGTAAAGTGCAGGGTGTCTCCACAATAACACTATGGTGTTCCATTGTTGATACATTTCATTAAGGCACATTCGTGTCTTCAAGTCACTTGTGAAATGTAAGAGTTATAATATAATTGTCAGTTCAAAAATTTCAAACATAAATAACGATGAAATCCAAACTTATGTACACTGCTGCTGATAGGTTAAAATGTCATTATCTTCACTCTTCCAATAGGCTAAAAATTGGATCACAGCGGGGACAGAAATATTATGCATGTGTACGAACAACTGTGAGACTGGTACGAAAGACAAGATAAACCCAGTGACCACATTTGTCATACTGTGCCCATTTCGCGAACTTGATTGAGTCACTACGATGCCATGCATCGGGTGCAAAATTCCCGCACAAACAGCAAACTGCATCGTCATCAGTTGCACTGTCAGAAACAACTGTTTCAGAAAGTTGTTGATGGGGGCGGGGCGTTGCGTGTCTTGCGTACAAGTCCTTTCCCTTGTGACTTTTTTTTAGCAGAATTTCCTTTCAACGGCCATGACGATAAGGACAGCGACCTTGTGACGCTTGAATCTATCTTCCCCTTGCTGATTTCCTTATCAGACTTCCGTTTCCCTGGGTGCTGTTTCTTGTGTTCGGCTATCCTGTCTACAACTGTCTGATCTGTGATAACATTCCCGCCAACGATTATACTGATAGTATTCCTTGGCTTGTCATTAAATAAGTGACAACTGAAAAAATATTTGGCACATTAATACTAGATAGAAAAATGAACATTATTACCCAAAAATATCCCGATAATTTCAAACATACAGAGGTTAATGACAAGGCAAACATAAAAAATGTAAATTTACCTGAATTACTTGATTGGCAGTCGAATACTTTTCATATAAGGAACCTTACTAAATCGTTAAATTAGCGAAAACCGATTTCAATATTCTTATTTCCGATATCTCATAATTATCTGACTTTAAATTTGTATATGTGTATCGGCAAATATGAGCGCGAAGACAAATTAAAAAACATTTCTGAAACAAATTTATCGAAAACGTTCGTCGTACACAAATCGTATTTTCGATGTCATCATATATTTATTCAAATAACACTATTACGTTTATTCCAACGTGTCATGTCATTAAAATTGCAGAATAAAATACATGATTTATGAATATTCACGAGTCCTAATTTTGGTTATTTTGTTATGGTTCATTATTTTCGACACAAGCCCACAGAAAACCAGTGTTGCACGTACCGTGTTATATACGGAAAAAAAACATGTCGCGCTTCGTGCAACCCGAACTTAAAATATTGCTAATTTGATAAGAAAAATGTTTACAGGACGTTCATGTATACTGAGTCAAAAAAGAAACTTCACAAAATGTAATTTGAAAAATAATGAATAATTTTTCTCTGATGATACATCTATGTATCCGAAATGGGATCCCTATCTTTCGACTCTAGAAAAACGTTAGCAAAACCCACTCAAACCCATCCATTCGTCGTGCAAATGACGTTAGTGCCAAATCAGGTTTTGCACGTGCAGTCGATCACGTGATCTTCGCATCGAAGTTTTCTTCATATGCATGTGTTTTCATTGGCCTCAAGAATTGAAAAAACACTTTGAAACCACAGTTCTAACGGTACTTGAAATGCCACGATTGTCAAATGTGCAACGTGAACGTGCCGTTGGCATGTTGCAAGCGGGAAGATCAGTTATTGACGTCGCAAGAGCAATGGGATGCAGCCGTCGTACTGTGTATGACTTGCGAGGTCGCCCTACAACAAACTGGCACCACTTCTGATCGCCCAAGGTCGGGTCGTCCACGTGTGACGTCACGAGCAGAAGACCGTCAAATCGTCCTACGTCACCTACTGGACAGATTTCTGCCGGCTACACGAACCAGGGCTGAGATGTTTAGAGGTCGACTGTCCTCACAGACCATTCGAAATCGGTTGCGGGCTGCCAATCTCTATTCTCGACGTCCATATCGTGGGCCAATATTGACGCCGTTTCATCAACGTCAACGTCTGCTGTGGGCCCAACGTCACCGCCGATGGACCCAGAGAGACTGGAATCGAGTCGTCTTTAGCGATGAATCCAGGCATAGAGTCTGGAGACGACGTCGTGAACGGTATGCCCAATGTTGTGTACAGGAAGTCGACAGATTCGGGGGAGGAAGTTGCATGGTGTGGGGTGCTTTCTGTGGGAACAACCGTTCCCGACTTCTGGTCATCCGTGGAAACCTCACAGCTGCTGCTTACCGCGACCAGGTGCTCACCCCCTGAACTCGTTCCTGGAATCAACGTCATGGACTGGCCCTCGAGGTCCCCTGACCTTAATCCAATAGAGCACGTTTGGGATGCACTTGGGAGAAGGCTTCGTTGTCTTAGGAACCAACCTCAGAATTTGCAGGAACTTGGCGCTGCCTTGCAAGAGCAATGGCGCAGAATCCCCAACCACGTGTTCACAAGCATCAGGCAGTCGACGAGGAGACGGTGTTTGGCAGTGGTGAATGCGCGGGGCGGCCATATACGATATTGAACTGAGAAATTTCGCATTTTTTATTCTTGTGACTTGACATTCTGTATACCCATGTTTTGGAACGGCGGTGTAGCCTAATGGAACTGACTATGGCACTGTCAGTGTATCGAGTACATCACACAGATCTCAGCAATGAAATAATAACAATTTAACCATCTTACCATCTCTTGTTCTTTTATAGTGCCCTGAAAAAGAATGTGAAGTTTCTTTTTTGACTCAGTATATAAGCCCTGGCGAAAGTTGAAGAATTTCTCATTATACAAGTGATTCATTTATCATTATCAGTTGAATATGACGAGAGGAAAACGAAAATTACGATCGCGAAATCTAACTTGTTTTCTGTTAAGTGCAAAGTTCACCGGATGTGATGTCACAGACAGGGGTTGTCTGGTAAAATCTTTCGTAATTGAATACTAACAGTAAATTTGGAGATATTTGGTCTGGTAAATCCAAATTTAACACAAATCACTATTTCGAATGATTAATTATAGCTCATCGGAAAAAACATTAAGATTTTGACCATATAATTGGCATATCACGGAACCTCTCGTGACCCGGAAGCAGTAGTCGATCAACGCTCCACATGCAAGTTTCTCAGTATCATTTATTGGAACTTTTGTTGATATTAGGACCATCACTTTATTCTACACTGAATATGCTGATAAGAAACATATAATTGTGATGCATGTTGATACTGGTTTGTTTGTTTTTTTACTTTGACCGACGCAACAACGTTAACAAACATGGACCTCGGACAACAGGTGCGCGGAAATGGGCGTGATAAAATGTTTCAAAATAAGATTCATGCCTTTTTATTGTGACAAAATATTAGCATGATGCATATGTATTATATTACATACTTAAATATAGTATCAATTATAGTTTCACATGAAATTATGGATGATTTAATAAAGTGTGCGTTCATATTACATGTATGCCAAATTTATACGTCTCACTTCAGAACAATTTGAATTACATATATACATTTATGCATATAAATTAAAATCCTTGATGAATACTGATGAAAGATTTGTCAATGCTTAATGTGTCACAGCTGGTTACAACTTTAATCATTTTCATATATTTTGTTACGTTAATTGTTATTAATAATATGATAAGCATTTTCTCTCATAAATGATCATGGGTGAGGACACTAAGGATCTATCAATGAATTCGCAAAGTGTAAATAACCAATATTCAATTACTGTCTTTCAGTGATGTGGAAAACTAACAATTTTACAAAATTATTCAATACAACTATACCATAAAATATACGGATAAATGTTTGATATTATTTTGTGTATTTTGTTTCTGTGCAATATCTTGCTAAAATGTGCTTCAAATACAGATGGGTGATGAAATATTTTTGTTTTCAACAGTAACTCTTTGTTTTATTAATTATTTTCAATCACAAATAACTATAATATAGTGTAATTTATGCACAGTATATTTATCAGAAAATGTTATCATTTCATGAAAACAGAGACCATATACATGTAATAAATTATATGGTCTCTGATCAAAATCAACAGGCTTCATACTCTGTTAAAATTTAAGTAAACAGAAATTATCTTTCCTTAGTATCTTTTCCTGGGTTTTGGAGCAACGACATAATATGAAATTTGTCCACTGAACTTTCAAGGATTGGTGCTGTTTGCTGACGTGTCTGATAGCGATATGCTCCTATTACAATTGAGGAAGTGGTGGTTAAAGCTGAGGACCCGATTCATCGGGTACAATGTGTGAAGACTAATTTTGGTGTCCCCGCCGTGATATTGCTTGAATATTGCTAAAAGCAGCGTAAAACTCAAAAGACTCACTCACTCACTCTAGAATGGTCGATGGCACTCCTCCTCATGCTTTCGAAGTTTTAGGATCAAGCTCAATCCTGAGACAGGCAGCCTGATGACAGCAACGCTTTGGAAGCAAAGATTGAATACAGTTCGTTACAATTTGCTTGTCTGTTTCTAAAGCCACACTCCTTAATATTCCAGCTATGTGGCGACGGTGTCATTAGGGCTGTGCAATATTACCGGTAAACCGGTATGTACCGGTACAGTATCTCGCGATACGATTATCGCGATATGGTTCAGATTCTGCAATATATTGTGTCATCCAGAGTTAGCTCCCTTTGAATTATCTGCCCTTGATTTTCATAGCAAAAATATGTGCTTTAAAAGTGTCAAATACACTTTTATTTCTGTTTGTTTCATGTAACATTTTACAAATGGAAATGTCATTATTACTGGCTCTAAAAGTGAAATATATTCTACCAAATGCTTTACGTTTTGTGGGTTGAATGGTTTCATTTGGAGGAATTAAGTGGTCTCAAATGAACTTAACTATTTATTTGGAGTAGTAGAGCGCTCTGGCCCTGAGTGATCATTTCAAAATTCACACTATTTTGGGTTTGTTTTTTTTGTTTCCTAATGGGACATATGATATCAATTTATCATAAAGACCTGAGTCTTATACATTTTGTACGACTGTATAATGACATTCCAGTCAAGGGTCTTAGTTATTGGAAGTCACATGCGATTTTAATTTCAAGTATTTCACCTTAAACAGGATTTTGTTTCATTTTGCAGCAGTCCATGTTAAAACATGTTTATACTGGAGTTGAATCTGAATGAATCACTGACATACAGTAACAATAATGACATACTGCACCGAAGTACATTCTGTTTAAGCAAACACCACTGACCATGAGAATAATGTTCTACTATTACCTGTATTATTATGTTCGCAACACTTTGTTGCAATACATTCCACGTTAAGGCTCTATGTTATTTATCTATCTGTAAACCATTGGCATACAGCCATACACAAAGGGGATGGAGAGACTGAAAGTGTGGCTATTATGAATTTTTTATGTACGCACTTGGGCAGAAACCATCCAGTCAATATATCACAATATGTATTGTAATCTCTTAAATTATTGCAACATATCGGAATATGATAATCAGGGCAATATCCAGCCCTAGATGTCAGTCACCAACCCTTGTGATCCATCACATATCCTTACATGGTTTCTCTTGCAATACGCCGGTAGGTCCAGTTGTTAAAGCTTTCGTGCGTGACTCCGAAGGCCCGGGTTCTATTAAAACCGTACTCACTCTTGCAATACGATGGAGAATTACAAATCTTGGTCAGTTGATCGTAATTCAAATGCCGAATTCACCGTGATTATGATCCTGGGACCGTCATCAATAAACCATTGCTGAAAACTGCTCCCTAGGTTTTCCTTTTGAAAGTGATGTACATGTAAGGCGCGTAGCAAGCCAATTTTTGCAAAGTTTTATATTTAAAGAGTATTGAGGGCTTGCCCAACCTTTTTAGCAACAATCACGTGTAAGCCCGGGATTTGTTTCATAATGGTCGCTACGCCCCTGACATCAGGCTTTCTTTGCAAATTAGGCCGACGCGACATGATACGACTGAAGTCCTGGACACATCGCCTTGAACCAAAAATCTGGATACAGATGCTCCATTCAATAACCACATGGCAAAAGTCTGTAGTTTGTTGGTTTCATTTCCACTAGTTCCTTGTCACTAGCTGTCGCTCTCATTGAGTATTTTCATATTCTTCAGTTTCAACACCAAAGTGTCATCCTCTGTGGCAGCCAAATCGTACTGGTCTAGCGTGTTGTCGCCCTGTTGGGCAGTGGTCTTTCTTCCTAACATGGACAGGAATCCAAATGTCACTGAGGCAAAGAACATCACAGCTGAAATGAGAGTTAGAAATAATATAAATATATATTGATATAAACTTGTTTGCCACATCAATATTAAGAAAAGTACAAAAATAAAATAAAGAAGTTGTTATCCATAAAGTATCGTATTTTGGTATCATTCATCAACTTCTAAAATGCCAATCAAACAGATCACATCAATATTAAAGAAGCATTTTAGACGCGTGACAATATGTGTGACGACATGCCAACATGGATTACTACTTTACCGCTACTGGAATGTTTCAGTATAGATGCTAGTATTTCCACAATTGTTATGAGTGAGTGTTTTTTGTAATTTGTAATATCACATTGATAAAGTGATAATTATTATTGGTCACAATGTTTAAAGTTTTGAGTGTGGGTTTTGGCTCGCATCTCACATCATTTATGTTCAATGGCTTTAGTATTTTTAGCGGCACGCCTTTTTGATAGCGCTTCAGAGTTGACTCCCTTGGCAACGTGTTGACTTCATGCTGTCTGTTCCACATGATTCCATATCGTTATGAGAGAATAATGATGGAGCCTAGCTTTGTTAGAATGCTCGAGAACTGTGTAAGAGCTATATAAAGGCTAGTTGTTGAGTTGTGCGACTGGACTGATCACATCACTGGAGTTATACACATCTGTCTGCCATCGTCAAGTTGTTCAACATTCAAGACTGACCGTGCTGGCCTAATCATCTTCTGTCATTGTAAACAACCTTCAGTCAGTATATCTGTTCTCACTGTAAATGTCAAGACTCTGATGAGTTGATATATTTTATTTGTGACCCAATATTTTAGATATGTGACTCAACTGCATTGTACTAGAAGTCTGTATTGTCATTCATTGTAGTTTGCTCATTGTTTGTTCATTATATTATTGAATATTTTAGACTTGTCTGTGTTCTATTTTGCTGGTTCAAAGAGGACTTTTAAACCAAATTATTAACCGTAACACAATCATAAGCAAGTCAGCTGTAGATTCCGACTTATTTCTAAGCAAGTGTTGAATTACTATCACATCGTGAAAATAAGAGTGAGCGAGTGAGTTTAGTTTTACGCCGCACTCAGCAATATTCCAGCTATATGGCGGCGGTCTGTAAATAATCGAGTCTGGACCAGACAATCCAGTGATCAACAGCATGAGTGAAAATAAGATGTGTTCCCGAAAAGATGAATGAGTGTATCCTGCCCCAACGCCGTCATCAACTCACGCAAAGGCGAGTTATATCTTCACATGAATAAATCAAGGTAGGGCTTTCACATGCACACAATTTAGTTTCGAAAGCACGACAATGCTTCTTAATTCCATCGACCAGTTCTCTGCAGGTGCACGTTATTTTAGAAAATGTCGAGTATAAACAAATGTTAATTTAATCATCTTGAATCAAATATATTATGTTCAGTGATTACCTTCAAATTTTAAACATTATCATGTGTAAGGGTAGCAAAATATTTTAGTAACGGTAATACTCACATGAGCACACGAAAACATAGCTGAAATTGTTGGTTAGTTCGAATATAGACCCTGTAAACAGAAAGTAAAATGAATCAATTAGTCAACGATATGTTTTGTTTTCACAAAGGTAAACAACCCCATGGCGAGTAAAATCAGAACAGATACCCTGAACTAAATTGCTTTTTGTTAAAGGAGTATACATTGAAAATTGAGTGATGAGATTCCTCGATTGGGTGCGAAATATGGGATACGGTATCATATCAACTATCGATTGCCTGGATGACTCGATAATTTACGTGAAATGGGAATAGAAGAAATATTGATCAATTCAAAATAAAACGGTAATCAACTACCTGAAAGTATATGTCATTTACTTTACATAAGAAAACGCGAGTATTCTAATCCGATAGTGACCGCTACACCCAAGACGAATGAAGAGAGCACAGTGATAGTACTGGAGGTACAGTAAATAATGATTACAGTAAACATTGAAATGTGATAAATGCGATAAATGTGGCAATGCGGTACTGCGACAACCGCGATATTACAATGCATATCTCTGTAGGTATCTTAATATATTAGTACTCGTTACATCCAATATAATTGCCTTAATATCCTAGTGATCGTTACATGCAATATATACTAAGCAGCAAAAGAAACGTCAATTTGGAATTTTCCTTCGCAGAAACGGATAACTGTAAACTCCAGCTCATTTAATGTTTTGATTGTATAATTTTGACAACATCTCCGACTTTACCTGAGAAAAGACATTCCTTCCCAAACTCAGAATGGAACCCAGGAAATGGTCTCAAAAACGCATCCTGATCTCGGATAAGGTACGGTGTTCTCCCTCAATGTTTTTCATGCAACTCATGCTCCACGTGCTGTTCACAAGGACCAGCCCTATAAAATGCACCCACAAACCTGGTTAAAACATTCACATTACAACGTCAGCAGGATGGCGCGACTCACGACAGCTCGGAGGAACCAGGCGCTAGGAAGACTTGAAGATGGCCACACTGCACAAACCGTTGTAAATCACTTCCAGGTCAACGTTCGGACCATCTACAGGCTGCAGCAACGTTTCCGGGCCACCAACACCACAAATAATCGCCCCCGTACAGGCAGACCAAGGATGACCACAAGACGACAAGACCGCCATGTTGTGAGACAGCATGTACAGAATCCCTTCATGCAGGCATCCGAACCAGCACGCCAAACAGTGGGAACACACGGAAGACCAATCAGTACTGATACAGTACGCCAACGACTTAACAGCGGGAACCTCCACTGCCGTAGACCTTACCGTGGACCTATCCTCACCCCTCGTCATCGGCGTGAACGTCTACAGTTTGCCCTACAACACCAAAACTGGCGATACAGGCAATGGAGAACTGTTCTGTTCACAGATGAGAGTCACTACTGCGTATCAACTGCAGATGGCAGAACAAGACTATGGCGACGACGTGGCCAGCATTACTCAGACCAATGTGTTATGGAAAGAGACTCATTGGGGAGGTGCAAGCATCATGGTATGGGGTGGAATAGGCCTGAACCAGAGAGTGGGTCCTGTGGTGTTCCAGAAACCTTGGTCCAGGGAGAGGAGGCGGCATCACAGCGGTGCGCTTCATCGACCAAGCTCTCAGACCCCACGTCATACCACATTTCGCACGTCATCGAAACAACATTTTTACAGCATGATAAGGCCCGGGCCCATACTGCCAGTGTCAGAGCTACACGGGACTTCCTACAGCAGCCCTTAATCCTGATTTAAACCCAATTGAACATCTTTGTGATGAAATTCAGAGGAGACTGAATAATGTCATACCAAGGCCGAACGCAGCCGATTTATTGCGCCAGGCCTTTCTCAGAGGGTGGTTCCAGATGCCAATGGCCTTCATCAATCGATTGGTGCACTCCATGCATAGACGCTGTGCTGGAGTTATTGCCGCTCGTGGTGGTCACACTAGATACTAGAGTGTAGAGTCTGAATGGACTGCAAACCTTCACGTTATTCATTGATATGTCAAGATTTTGTACTCAAAAAAAAAATTTCATCCGCTTATAATGTCCATTTCTGTAATGATTTGATTACAGTGCCTATCTAATTTTAAATTCGCACTGACGTTTTTTTTGCTGCTTGGTATATTTATCTTGATATTCAAGTGATTGTTACAGCCAAAATAATTATCTTCATATAACTATATCACTACGACAAATATGATTATCTGTGTACATAACTGATCATTACATCCAGTGTGATTATCTTTAGATACTAGGTATATAAATATATCAATAAAACTATGACCATTTCACCCAATACATTAATCATATCAAAAGGCTAGTGAATATATATGTACAGATATTCATTCATGACGAATTGCAGATACCCTTCGTATAGTGTTGCTCTTCAACGTATTATAAAAGTTTGGAATAAATTATTTAATATTCCTCATGTAAGATGTCAAAAATGGTTTTACAACATGCTGATACAAGCATCCAACAATGGCAAAAATAATTGGGTGTCCATATTTGTTGTTTCCACTAAATATATTACTCACATTGCTATAGCTTGTTTTTTTAGGAGGCTATCCTGTCATCCCTTACATCAAACATACAAATTGAAGATACATCGTTGATTAGGGCTGGTAGGCTAGCGAAGTGATATTGTAGGAATATTGCTAAAGGTGGCGTAAAGCCATGTACACTCACTGACATCTTCCGTTAACCGCTTCAGGTGCAGGGGTATTTGTCAACGAAACATTTTGACTTTTCTGTTGGTTGAAAGTGTGTTCCTGTTTAGATTACCGTTGAAACAACACATTGAGCCTGTTCGTGGCATACACCAGCATGCACCTCTCAACGATTTGTGTTTAACTTCATGGAAGATCGTTTACGTACGCTTCGGTGACTATTAAGGAAAGCCAGGGCAGTTTTAAAACCTGGTAAGGGTGAAAGAGTCTGTTGTCCCTTCTGTGATGAAGTATATTGAATGAATGAATGAACGATATATGCGTGCGTGTGTGCGCACGTGTGTGTTCTGAATTGGTGTTAGTTTGCAACTAGATTCTCAGGCGAGACAGGACGTCAACATACACACACAATGACTCCACTCGGAGTGGAATACTTGACTGATTGGTCAAGAGCTGTCTACTTGTAGCAGGAATTAGAACAAGTCCTATATCTACAACTAACTTGTATCCGATTCATACCTGTTACGATTTGGGTGTTCTGATGTCGCTGCTGTGATGCATGCAACAAGTTACTTCATATCGCCCCATTATAACGCGCCTTTATCGCTACATTAGCCAGTATTTCAGCGTCTGTCAGTTGATGAGGGAAACTCACATGTCAACGCCGGAGAATAATCAGCTACTATTATCCACGGAAACAGATTCTATAGGGCGTACAAGTCAAAACAGTGATGACAATTACATGAATGAATCACCAACAACTCGCGAAGCCGGAACCGATTCAGCTTGTGTCAGTTTCGTGAAACCTACAAACATGGGTGCGACTCTGACACACAAACAAACATTGTCCGGGAGACACCTATTGGCCCTTATGATCACAGCTGCCTGGAACGCCGCAACTCTCTATACAGTATAATGACGCCTTCTCATGAGTTCAGTGCTCTGTCTGACAACAAATATATACTCTTCTATGCAAACTATGTTGGTGGGGAATGCTATGACTGGGCAAGACATTCTGACCCATTCGCGAACACTAATGACTTCAACGACCTTCAGTTATCCATCTATATACGTTTCAAAGTTTTTTGCTTTTTAAACCCAATGGAATCCGGATAATCGAATCCCTGGCTTCGAAGTTACTGAATCTATCTGAACATTAGCAATGCTTACCTGCGATAGGTGGTCCGATGAGATAGCCAATACCCAGGAAGGACATCACAGCACCGTAGGCAATGGCAAAATGTTCTACTCCGGCAATGTCTAAAGCTATTGTGCTCTGAAGGGCAAATACACCACCCGTATAAACACCAAGGAGCGCTCCATAGGTCAGTCGCCCAGCAACGGTTTTAACTAAGAGTGGCAAGAGCACAGATGTAACGGCAGTTATTCCCACAATGCCAGAATATATCAACTCTGGACCTACCCTCTTGTCGTTGGACAAAACGCCCAACAGGAGCCTTGATACAAAGCTGCCTATTCCTAAAGTGGATATACTTAATGATGCTTCTTGCAATGATGCCCCGTTGGACTTCATATAATCTGGAAGAAAGAGTATATGCACCGAGTATCCCATAGCAAGTAGAAGAGTACTTAGCATGAAGGCAATAAATGACAAGTCGGAGAGTATGTTCTTATATGTTGTTATGTCTCCGAAGGCAGCGAAGAGAATGGTCTCCTTCCTGGTTCGCCCGCTTCGATTTTGAGCTCTGCGAAGCACTTCAAAAGACGATGGCCGCATCATGAGCCCGAATATACAACAATGTGACACCAACGCTCCAACCAACAAGAACGCACCCGGAAGTGCATACCATTCGATAAACAGTTGAATCAGCGGCGGGTGAACGAATATTCCAAGAGCTGTTCCGCAGACTGCTATTCCTGAAGCTAGAGCCGTATCTTGAGGAAAGTAGTATCCAATAACTACCAATGAGCCAACCTGAGCAAAGGCTTGAGCGAGTCCTGCAATGATAATAATGATTGTTTGGTTGAGTGAGTATTGTTATGAGCATAATCCCATAAATATTACGGCGGCCGGTGAATAATCAAATCTGGGTCAGGAAAACCAGTGATAGATAATGCGACCAACGGCACAATACTCCACAGCTGTATCTGACCACCAGATGTATTCAGGCCTCCTGAACACAACCATTGATGTTTGAGGATCACTCTTCCAAAGAAGAAGAAGAAGAAGAAATTGGATAAACGTTTTTTAATTAAGCACTGATGATGAAATCGTTCCAAATTTATGAATCTTGCTTTAGATGTAGCATATCACTTCTAGCCACTTCATTTTTAAATGTATCCATACACATGAGCATTTATTACGCACCACCTAAGGGCACATTTTAACTTTTGGTCCAAACAAGCGAGCAGGTTTTTCAAAAGCATGCACAACATGTGTAGTGTATTTGTACTTGTGGATGGTGCTTGATTTATGTCCATTAGCAATGAGGTTCACAGCACCTTGCGAGACCTTAGTACTTCCGATGACAAGCAATGTTTCATACCTTTTCGAATGGTGTCATGGTTGTCAGTTGACAGTGAGGAACCGATAATCCTTGCAGGAATAACAACAGCTGTGACAGCCAAGTATGTTCGTACACCTGGTCAGGTCTACTAAAGTCATATTTGGCAGTCGCGCAAGTTGGAACCAGTTCTGGTTCTTGAATATACGCTTGTCACCTGAGATCTGGTACCGGGAGTAAGCCGGCTCTCGTCTTGCATTCTGCAAGTTGGCACGCGCAAAGGGAGCCGGGAACCAGCTTAGTACCGGAAGTAGGTCCTAATGGCGGCGGTCTAAATAACCGTGTCTGGACCAGAAAATCCAGTGATCAACAACATGAGCATCACTCTTCACAACTGGTATACAATGACGTGTCAACCAAGTCAGTGAACCTGACCACACGAACTCCTTATTGGCCTCTTACGACAAGCATGGTATACTGAAAACTCATTCTAACCCGGATCTTCACGGATCTGTTATAGCAATTGTGATTATACATACGTATTTATTACGTCCATTTATTGACCTTGAGGCCACGTGAATGAATGAAATTATATACATGCCATGTAACTTTTTACCTGCAACGAAAGCGTACGTGACGAATAACACTCTGATGTCCGTGACGAGAGCACTGACACCAAATCCCACAAGACCGAGAATGCCAGACATGAAGACGCACGTTCTACAATTAAACATGTTGGTCACCAGGGCAGCGATAGGACCTGAAATGTGGAGTTTAATATATGGTAGTCGTCATGTTCCACTCGGGACATCCAATTCAGTGAATTTGATTTTGAAACATTTTGTGTTCATCCTTGTAGATAAGAAAGACAAGAGGTACGGTTGCATGTCGATCGAAAAGATTGCTGGTTCCAAATCGTTAAAGTTACATATTTACGTGAGTCAGTGAGTTAAGTCATTACGCCCCTTTTAGCAATATTCCAGCAATATCACGACTGGGGGCACCAGAAATGGGCTTCACACATTGTACTCCTGTGGAGAACCGAACCCGGGTCTTCGGCGTGACGAGCGAACGCTTTAACCACTAGGCTACCCCACCAACCCTCATTATTACGTTAAAAATAAAGAAGTCTGTTCAAGCTTTAAGTAAAATTGACAACGCATCAGCCATATCTTGAAAATGGCCAAATATCTAACACAAGTAAAAAGAAGAACAATGACAGATACGTTTTTGAAAACTATTCATTCAGATCGCCGCCAGATTGTGTAAATGGCGGATGTTACAAGTAGGTCTGAACATGTTTATCCTTTTCGCGAACATCTGGCGTCATTACGGATTTAGTTTTTATTTAGCTATTTTGCCCTGTACGCCAACTGAACTTTGTGTCGGCGAATAATCACGACTGGTAATTCTTTTGGATTTCCGGGTGTTTTTAAATTTATTTATTACCATTGTAAAAAAATGTCCTTAAATCGTGCCAGAAGTGTATCGAAGTGGGTACGAATCCTGTGTTGCCCTGATTATGGTCTTGGTTTGTCAGTTTCACAGCGCGGTAAACATCGACAATCTTCATTACTTTCCTGCAACATCAGCGAGTGAGTGACTTTAGTTCAAACCCGGGTCTTCGGCGTGACGCGCGAACGCCTTACCCTCTAGGTTACCCCATCAAACTGATGCAGTGATACAACTGAAACACTGCACGAAGCGGCGTTAGAGCCATCTCACTCACTCATCAAGGTACCATTATCCGCCGAAGCCTACCTGCTAATGCAAACATGCAACTGTGCAAGGCGCCAACCCAGGCCGTCAACGTCACGTCGCCATTGTAACGGTCCAACAAGGCCACGTGGAACACCCCTACTGCGTAGTTCAAGGCGGGGTTAAGAAACTGGGTAAGAAACGAAGCCAGCAAGACCACCCAGGCGTACTTGCTTCTGGGTGTACGTCGGAAGTCAGCAACGGCTGGGTTATCTATGTCCACGTCCGCCATCTTACCGGAAACCATAAGCTAAAGAATTTTCAGCTTCTTTCGCATGCTCCTGCAAGGAAAAATGTATATTAGCGTTTATATATAAGTGAATACAATACAAATATACTTTGCGTCATTACTGTTACACAGGATTGGAATCGATATAAGCGTTACTCTCAGTGTACGTGGGCTGTAAGTAACAGGTGTGAAACGGTATACCGCGGTATTAGTAGGACCGCGGTATTATGCCTTCGGTTCGGTATACAGTAATGCAATCCCAAAAGTCGATATTTTCGGTTTTCGTACCGTCATTTTATTAACCTTTTTAATCCTTTTCTAAAATGTCTGTTCTTCTATCTAGTCATGAAATGACAGTTTTGTGCATTCAAAATAACCAAGATTATGGCTATTTTGCCCATGTTATTAAACGATGAAAGGTTTGGCTCTTCTTGTCAATGTTCTGCATGATGATCATATCTCATATACCGAACCGAAGGCCTTGTACTGCAATACGTACCGTACCGTGGTAAGAGCGTACCGTTTTACCCCTAATAAGTAATCAAAGCTCACCAAACCAACGCTCTTTGTTGAACGTCGCACTCCGTGTTTTGTCCGCGTTACAGTAGACAACGTCCAAGTCAGCCTATGAAAAACCTAGTTCTGTAATCCTGGAATGTCCTGTCGTGACATCTGTTGCGTGCCGGATGTTCTACCAACGAATGAAAAAGCACTGTAGCTTACCTGCATATTTAGAAACATTTTGAAACATAAGCACAGGCATAATACAAAGGATATGCCGTATTAATATTCCAAAATGTTCTGCACTTCACGGAAAACTAAAATTCAACACTTAAAATCGAACGATTTCATTACAATGATCTGTATAGAGCATTCAGCCTTACTATTTGCTGTTAAAGAGAATTTAACAACATGGACAGAACAACATACAAATTTATTAAACGTCAAAACACGGAACTAACAAAACAAATCACCCCGTTGAACAATGTTTATTACAAGTTGCATATTAATTCTCAACAATGTCTTTATTGGGTCACAAATTTTTTCCTCAAATTCAGGTGCCACAATTTCAACTTCATTTGTAAATTGGTGCTTTTTAGGGATAAATTTACAGTGCGAGAAAACGTTGAAATGTTGATGCTTAAAAATTTGATTCAAACGTTAAAAAGCCTCTCCGCTGGCATTGTGTTCAGGTTACTTAAAGGTCACATGCAACCAAAAAATCAAACATAATTAAAATCAAATTATCACTTATTCATCACATATAATATACATTGCTGACTGTGACAAAAAACAAATAAACAAAATTATGAGCGGACAATCGCGAATCAAAAGTGCAATATTTTGTACTTGGGTTTACTTCCCTCGAAACGAAGCACCCGGGAGACCGAAACCAGTCAGAGCGGGTGTGTGTGTGTGCACTCAAGTGTAACGAAGTATTTCATTGGCTGGTTCATTTGCCGATACGCTGAGGGCTCATTGTGTGTATATAGAGATGATGTATGGATTCATATACCGTTGTCAAGCAAGAGTGACAACGGTATAGGAATCCATAACGAAACGTAGCATCATATACAATAGAAGAAGTTTCTTTGAGGGCCATTTTAGAAGTTGTATAGATGAAATAACGGTGTTAGTACCTACACCGAAACGTCGCACTCATTGCAATAAAGAAGTTGACTATCCATAACTTGGTTTTCCTTTATAGAAGAAGTTGTTATCCATAAAGAATGTATATAGAGATGTTGGGTTTTGTAAATACATGCTCTGGGTCTCTGCATTTGCGTTCAATCCAATCAACAAATACTGAGATGGTGAACTGTTCCGTGGCTGGAAACTGTCGTTTGTCTAAGTACAAAGCAGGACTTGAAACTGACAATCTGAGTTTGCACCGGTTTCCGTCCGATCCAGTGATCCGAGAAAAATGGACGCAGTTTGTTTGCAACCCACAGACATGTCAATAACATGTCATGTGTACAAGTATCACACCTGCCTGTCCGTGTAATTACATAATGTGACAGAGACAGAACTCAGGTGCACGAGCCATAAATCAATGTATTTTGTTTATGGTGTATACGTTTCAAGTTAAAATTGCATGTGGTCATGATCAATGATTGAAGTTGTGTATTGCATATTGTCATTAGCAGACAGGCAGGCAGAAACATAGGTGTCAATAAAACAGACACTGAGTTTTGTCTGTGACAGAGACACCTTATCACAATCCACATATTTTTCTATGTTTCCATAGACATGTATATTAAAACATTTCAGTTTTCAAGCTGAGCAAGTTTTAACAATGAAATTTGTATTTCTAATGCTACATTTCTTGAAAACTTGGTTTGCAAATCTGCCACCAAGTATGGGACCAGTGTATTTTTATAACTGGAGACCCAACATGCTTGTAATCACAAGAAACATCTCTTGTTCTCCAACTTCGACTACAGCGATAATCCTTGCACGCATCACTTGTTGTGTTTTTACGAGTCGTCTTCCCGGTTCAAGCCGCGCGAACCTAATCACTGCGCATGCACTGTGGGCGCAGCGTAGCACAGCTGTTGAAACCACTTTTCACCCCAGCGCTGGGGTGAACTTAGTGAATCGTTTGAACTCCGATTTCGCGGGGTTTTTTTCATCGCGTTATTTTTCAACTTTATAAGTTGAATTTGCATTTTTGATAATTTGTTACTGTAAGTCCATACCGAAAGGTATCAGAATCTGCAAAGTTGTGTTTTGCGTTGCATGTGACCTTTAAGACAATATGTTAATGTGATTTTTTCATATATTCGTTAACAAAAAACTGGTTCTGTTATTTTGTGATATAATACATGAAAATGAAGTAAATCCATTGATAACTTAGGTTTCCTCTAATAAGCGCCCGGATGCTTATTTTTCAACGGACTGTGCTTTTCAAACCCTGTGCTTATTACAGGCCCGGCGCCTATTGGAGACCCGGCTCTTTTGCTTCCACGATTACCTAATACCATCAACCCGTGTCACGTGGACGACAGGGAGTTATGACGAATGGGACCATTCTTTATTAAATGTATTTTTGGATCAAGGGAGATTACATTTATAAAATGTACCCGGTGCGTATTAGAGGACTGGGGCTTATTGCCTAAACCGCTGTTCCTAAACGTTATGTTGTTAAGATTTGTTTTATCCTGGGTAGTCTCAGTAGAGCCTTACGTATCAGTGCCTAAAGGCTCAAAGCTAAATGGCAAGAATATATAATTTCTGAGGAAAATTACTTCAGTTCATACAAAGTTACATTTATTTACATGGCAGTGTCATTCATTGTTTAAAAATGTTTTAACTCTTTTACATGGTTTCCGCTAAGATTCAATAGGTTCATGACATGGCAATAGCAATAAATATGTTTCAGGAATGCATCCCTGTCTCATGTAGGCAGTGATGTGAAAGTTGTTATTGCTTTCGGAGTAAAGTGTAACCTGGAATCTTCAAGAACAGAAAAGACTAATCGAGCACTGTAAGACTTTCTGGAGTGAGTGAGTGAGTGAGTTTAGTTTTACGCCACACTTTGCAATATGCCAGCTATATGGCGGCGGTCTGTAAATAATCGAGTCTGGACCAGACAATACAATGATCAACAGCGTGAGCATCGGCCTGCGCAATTGGGAACCGATGACATGTGTCCCAGGTAAGACTATCTTGAAGGTACTCAGACCATTTATATGGACAAGCTCATCTCTCTCCTCTCTAATTACTTCAAGACCAGAGGCTGTGTGAAGATCATATCATCGCCCTGGATCCAGTCAAAGTCAGTTTCGGAAGACTGACCGTTGCTGATTCCAGGTGAATATCATCATCAATGACTTGTCATCAGATTGGACACACAAGAAGATCCGGGTTAGAATTGGTCTTCAGCAACCAATGCTTGTCGAATGAGGCGACTGGGTGGTCAGGCTTGCTGACTTGGGTGACACATGTCATCGTATCCGAATTGCGTAGATCGATGCTCATGCTGTTGATCAATGTTTGTAGACCGCCACCATAGAGCTGGAATCTAGCTGATAGCGGCGTTAGACAAGAAACATCAGAATGGAGAGATATTGAGGATGTATATTTCTGTGAGAGATATCAGGTCTACCATGTACGTACTCTATTCTCGTCTGCAATGCAGCTGTTGGTAAGCTGGTATAATGGCATAATATATTAGAACGTGCAGCCGGGGATACAGTGCCGGCTGTGGTATTTGAATTTTATTGAGATTATTTTATTTTAGATGGTGATAAAAAGGCTATTGCAGCTGACATTAAATGCATGTTGCATTGAGGTACCTTGCTTCTGACGTACCGAGATATTTGATATTGTGAATACACAATGCCATTTAGTAAGTGGTCAAATGTAACATATGTTTGGGATTACACTTTCTCAGTAAGGAACAGATTCTAATAGTTTATGAGTTGATTGCCTTCCGTGATTCGAACCCACACTCTCAGAGTCAGGCACCTAATCACCAGCACACAAAGTTAGCTATCTAACCCACTCAGCCAACGCAGCTTTCCCTGTGTGCGACTCAGCATTGTTTACTTGCAATAGCCCTTCATGGTTCTAACCATTGCAGTAGTTGGGGGAGAGGATATAACATTACAGCAATATCCACGTGCGCTAATCGTTTTATTTATAAAAGTTAATTCATAGGAACCTAAATATTATTGTAAGCGATCACTGTGACTTTTCGAGAACCTTCTTCAGCTTTTAAACAGTTCCCGATCTGCAGTATCAGCTAATTGTATATACAATGGAATATATTCGCCACTAAATCTTTGCAACACATTACTATGGATACACGTACATGAATACAACAATTGCAGAGTCCCAATCCACAAAGCGTTCGTAACGTTACGACCTGTCGTTACTCTATAGTTTACCTAAGGCTTACGGATGTCGTAGCGTTACGAACGCTTTGTGGATCGGGACCCTGAACTGTTGAAATATGATTCTGATACCAAATGGCGCCCAGTCTACATATTGCGACCTGTACTACTCAAGAGTGCACACTTCCACCGTGATATACTTTCGCGTTCACTGTACATGTGACCTGCTGACAGACAAAAAAGTTACTATTTAATAATAGTTACACGAACTCTTACATTTTCCACAGACAAGATATGGAACATTTATGGCACGAACCATAAATTCATAAATATAATACGAACTATAATTGTATATCTTCTCCGGGTTGAAATAATGCTTTTTTACCCGAAAAAAAACGGAGGCGGTTTCAGTACGTTCTGTATAGCAACTAAGAGAAAGATTACAACGTTAGAACTTGTGAATCCCAAGGTAAAAACATATTAGTATCTTATTTATTACTTTTATCAAAGCTTCTTGAATTCATTCCATATATGTACTGAAACTGAGTTCGATCTGTTTCTAACAAATACAAACAACAATATATACAGTATACATGCGTGAATAGAAAGCGAATATAAAACGTCAAAGCTAGAGAATAACCAGTCTCGGTTATCCACAAACCCAAATCCTACTGGGCAACCACCCCCATTCCACAGAGATTTCTGGCTCATCGGTCACTCATCGGAAGCATAGTGTTTTCCTTCCAGTAACTCACCGAATAGTATCGTATCACAGTCCGAAGAATCCGATTTGTGTTTGTCGACTATTAGGTCAGCGTCCGACGTGTCGGGCGTGACCCGATGAGGCGAAATC